TAGTAATGTTTCTGTTCCTTATTCTTCCACAGCCTTTAACTCCTTGTGTTTTAATGGCTTTGCTGCTGTGTATGGGTTGAGAATGACTGGAGCAAAAAACAAAGAAAAGATGTTACAGTGTATTTGCATTTATTTTTCAGTTTCTCTCTAGAATACACTTGCTACTAAAAAATTCAAATTTGGATTCATCTGTCCACAATGCATTTTAATAATTATGAATATTTTGTATAAACATTATATGTTGTTTTCACCATTATGATCACAGTAAACTTTTCAAGATAAAACAAAATTTCTGTTAAGTTATATGATAATAAAAGTTCACCTGATCCAAAACACTCTTCTAAATTATATCAAAATAACCTTAAACCCCACAAAAAAACAAAATTTTGGAAATTATGACTTGGTCACCTCAATCTCCTGACCTCATTCCCATTGAATTAAGGATGAGATGAATTGAGTAAGAGATTTGAAAGAGAATACCCAAAGAGTGAGGGTGAGCTTTTTAGTGCTTGAAAGATACTTGGGAAGGTCTGCTATTGACTTTATTTTTATTTATATATATATAAACTCAAACTCAATTTTATATATATATATATATATATATATATATATATATATATATATATATATCCATATGAACATTTGAGTGTATTTTAGTCTGTTCCATTCTGTTTCATGTCAATGTGTTTGAATGTATGTATGCATGCATGTGCATGGGTGTAAGTATTTGCACATTTATTCATATTTATATATATATATCCATATATGTATGATAGTTTTGTTTTTTCGCTTTAAAGAAATCCATTAATGACAGCGTCACAAAGCAAAGACCAAATCTCACGCGAGCTAACCAATTCTTCCATTATCAAAAATTAAATCCAGTCTGAGAGAAATACTTTTTTATTGCCCCCTGCCACACACACACACACAAATTAATCAGAGAAAAATATACCTGCAAAAAAAAACTGAAGCTCTTTTTGCATTTAACATGATTCTGTCTTTCGTTCTATCTTTCTGCTTGTTTTTCTGTCTATATATATTTTGCAGGCTTTCTTTTTTTACTCTCTTTTTTCTTTCACTTTCTTTGTATCTCTTTCAATCTCTCTTACTCTGTGGCTTTCCTTTTTACTCTGTCTCTCACAATCTTTTTTACACTCTTCTGTGTCACCCTTTTTTTCTTTCTGTATCTTTTTCTTGCTCTTTCTTTCTCCCTCTCCCTTTCTCATGAAGAACAGAATGTCACTAGTAAAAGACATGGATAAACCATATTTGGACATTCAAAGAATCAAAGAATCTTTTATTCATGTTTCATTTTGTTCTTTCCGTTCAATTAGAAGAAGAAATCAACATGTCTGTATTGCTGTTTAAAAAAATAAAACAGTTGGAAAAATTTAGTAGAGGCAATGAATTTTTTTTATGAAGACAAATTGTTGCTACATAGAAATATAAATAAATTCATTCACTATTATGTAGAGTTTCTTTAAAAAAATCTAATCGATTTTGATTGTTATTCGTCATTTCAAAAGAAAACCATCACCGTTTAAGTAAAAACAGCCAAAGTCAAATTCAACAGTCGGAGTCAATTCATTTACATTCTTTTGGTGCGCATGGCGGGGTGTATATGTGTGTATGTCCATTTACATATATGCACATGCATGCATATATGGGTGTGTCCATATGTGTGCGTGTCTGTGTATGTGTGTATGCACGTACAGGCATGTAAGTATTTGTGTGTACAAATTGATATCCAAGAGGAAACATTGCCACCCTGATTGATCAATTATCTCAGACTATATATTTTGATCTCGGCATTTTCCTCTGTGTCTTATCATTATTTATCAATCTATATCTTTGTTTATCTATCTATTTATCTATCTATCTATCTATATATTCATATCTATCTATTTATCTATCTATCTCTTCATTATCTATCTATTTTTCTATGTCAACATATTCATATCTATCTATCTATCTATCTAGGTTTGTCTATATTTCTGAGATGAGGTATTATGTACAGTATTTACATTAGTCGGACTATTGTCCTCATCTTTGTCGCCATATTTGTCACAACGTTTGGCCGTTGTCGCTCCGGCCTTCTTCAGGTGGTTGGAATTTCGAACTAAACCCTTTATTTCTTCTAATTCCACGTGCCATGTTCGATGGATTCAGTTATCTCCTGCTAATTTTCCCTCTGAAAGTTCTCCACTGCCTTAACCAAAAATTGAACTCACCTTCTTTGGGTCTGTCACTGGATCTAACCAACGCCTTTATCCACTGTGCCATGTGTCCTTGAGGACATCTGGGTATGAACTTCTGGTATTATAAACCTAATGTTTTCAGCATCATTTTTACCAGTGCTCATATTGCAATTTTTTTTGCTGTTATCATTGCATGTCTTTTTTAGTTCATATTGCAACTTCATTGTTTCTCTGGCACTCCTTTTTTTATTTATTTATTTCTATATCTTTTCAGGAGATTTTTTGTGGCCTAGCATATGTGCTGATTCTTTCTTTTCCAATGGTGTTCCCTGTCTCCTTTCTCAACATGATCCCACAGGGGCGGTGATCTCCTTCTCTCTCCACAGAATGGTCACTATTTTTCTACTTCCCCTCGCGTTACAGACATGGTGTTCTTGAAGCCTTACCTTGAGGGGCAGCCTGTCTCTCCTTTATATTCCTTTCCGCAGCTGCATGGGATACCATATTTGGTCTTTAGTCATGTTCCTCTCTATGGGGGTCTCATCAGAGATACCTGCAAGTGTTGTCACGCTTTTGAAGGTTGTCCTGATGTTATATGGACCGCAGATCTTTTGTATTTTCTCTGATAACCCCTTCACATAACAACATAACAAAAGTGGATGTTTGAATCACTACAGAGGAATGAGAACATCATCATTCTTTAATGCGACTGTAGTGATGGACAAACCGGACTATACAAAGAAAACTGGAAGACCTCATTAGCAATGGTAGCTACAATAGTGAAGAAAGATCCTACTATGAAAACGGAACGCAAACTGTCACAGATCCTAATCAAGAACAAGGATCAAACAAGACGGAAAAATCGCAGCGTTACAGTTACCTCATATAATTCTCCCTAAGATTTAAAGACGGTATTCCAAGGCCGATTGTTAGTTGCCAAGGCTCTGTGTGCCTCCCTCTGAGTCGCTTCCTTGTAGATATAATTGACCCATTGATCGAAAGTCTCCTTCATATGTCCGAAACTCCGCCCACATAATCAAAGATGCTCCCATTCTATCCAACCAGATGGTGAGCTTGGACGTGGTGATCTGTTCACCAAGGTCCCACGGAGGAGGCACTCTCAGTAGTCAAGATAGATTAACCTCTGACTCTTCCCTAGAGGAGCCGGACCAGTATTCCAATAGATAATCTGATGGAATGTTGAACACAAACAACACACTTCGAATGGGATCTCACATATTCGACAGGATGAGGGCTTAGCAATGGGCTCATTATCACCAGCAATGGCGAATATATACATGGAATACTTTGAAGAAATGGCATTAGAGTCTATATCGCTAAAGCCAACTATATGGTTACGATGCGTAGATGACACTTTCATACTCTGGCCACATCAGGAAGAAGTCCAGGTTCTTCTGGACCATGTGAACTCAATAAGACCTTCGATACAGTTCACAATGGAGAAAGAGAGTAACAACTCACTCCCATTCCTGGATGTACTAATATCTCGAACAGAGAATGGGTTCAAGACATCCGTATACCGTAAACCAACATTCACCGGACAGTACCTCAATTTCAACTCCCACCATCCATACAGCGTAAAGAAAGGGATGCGTCCGCTTACAACATCGAGCAAAAAGTCATAAGTGGCGATCCAGAGACGTTAGATAAGGAATTGGTCAGTATAAGTAGTACCCTACAACGCAACAACTACCCTGGGTACATGGCAGCAGCCCCCAAAAACTGGGATAGGCGGGTACAAGAGGAGGAGGAGGAGGAGGACAACAACACTCAGAAAACAGTCTGCCTGCCTTATGTGAAGGGGTTATCAGAGAAAATACAAAAGATCTGCGGTCCATATAACATCAGGACAACCTTCAAAAGCGTGACAACACTTCGCAGGTATCTCTCACGAGTGAGACCCCCCATAGAGAGGAACATGACTAAAGACTGTGTATACGCTATCCCATGCAGCTGCGGAAAGGAATATAAAGGAGAGACAGGCCGCCCCCTCAAGGTAAGGCTTCAAGAACACCAGAAAGCTGTAACGCGAGGGGAAGTAGAAAAATCAGGCGTGGCTGACCACATATGGAGAGAGAAGGGATCACCGCCCCTGTGGGATCATGTTGAGATCATAGACAGGAACACCATTGGAAAATTTTTAAACTTAAGGAATCAGCACATGCTAGGCCACAAAAATCTCCTGAGCCGACCAAGCATAGAAATAAATACAATATGGGAACCAGTAATAAGGAGTGCCAGAGAAAAAGCAATGATAACAAAGTTGCAATATGAACTCTGGTAAAGACATGCAATGATAACAGCAAAAATTGCAATATGAGCACTGGTAAAAATGATGCTGAAAACATTAGGTTTATAATACTCTCAAGTTCATACCCAGATGTCCTCAAGGACACATGGCACAGTGGATAAAGGCGTTGGTTAGATCCAGTGACAGACCCAAAGAAGGTGAGTTCAATTCCTGGTTAAGTCTAGTGGAGAACTTTCAGAGGGAAAATTAGCAGGAGATAACTGACATCCATCGAACATGGCACGTGGAATTAGAACAGTCTACCCCAGCGATCAAAAATAAAGGGTTTATTCTATCCAACCACCTGAAGAAGGCCGGAGCGTACAACGGCCGAAACGTTGTGACAAATATGGCGACAAAGATGAGGACAATATCCGACTAATGTAAATACTGTATCTATCTATCTATCTATCTCTATTCCAATCTATTTGTCTGTCTATCTATCTTTTCATTATCTCTTTATTTTATGTTTACTGTTTATGGCTCATCGTGTTGAAATACCGGTTCTCATATGATCACCAAAGTTAAGCAACATCCAGTCTGGTCAGTACCTAGATGGGTAACCACTTAGGAATGCTAGGTGCTGTAAGCTTGGATGTGCTGGTGGTGTAGTGGATAATGGCTTGAAATTGTTAATCAGAGATTCAAGTACCAATTCCTGTTACAAGTAAATACTAAATCATTATTATCTCAAAAAAAGATTCTTACTAACTAAAAATATTTTCAGGCTTTAAATAAACTGCAAAGGGTTGATAAGCTGTAAAAAACAAATTCATCAATGAATCAATATCTTCATCACATTATTATCTATCTATCTATTTATCTATTCCAGTCCATATGTATTTATCTATTTCACTTCATTATCTATCTATCCATCAATCTATCTATCTCAGTCTGTTCATATCTATCTAACTTCATCATCTATTTATCTATTTAAGTCTGTTCATATCTATCTATCCTATTTTTTTCATTATCTATTCTATTCTGTTCATTATTGATATATCTATCCCATTTTGTTCATTATCTATCTATCTATCTATCTAACAGTTCATTGTCTGTTAATCTGTTTTACTCTATTCATGTCTCTCTATTTCTTCTTAATCCCATTAATCTAAATTGTTTTCTGAAGATTATCTGTTTATCTTTTTGTCCCACTTTTTCCTTCAAAGTCTTGGCACAAAACATGTAATGCAGGATTTCTACCATTTTGTTTTTCACTTACCTACTTTTAGTCTGAAATTGAACATTGATTATACCAGGTAGTTGCTGTCCATCTCTCTCTTAATTCACATCTAGTTTGATTATGAATTCACTTGTAAAGTCCCTTGTGTGTTTGGACATCCTTATCTTGTATTTTTAGGTTCATTAAGGCCTAAAAACTAAAACATATTTATTCATTGTTTTCCATCACTGGGTCCAGTTCTGAAGAAAAGAACATTTAAAAAAATTAAGGAAAAATTTTAATTTTTTTCTAGGCATGTAGCAAATTAAGTTAGTGACCCCTTTCGATATTCCATGCCCTTTCATGACGTAGGTGGTCATGGTCCTCCACAATGTCCTATCCTTTAGAGCTCTTACTAACATTTTGCCATCTCTTCTGCATCCCTATTTCATTATCCATTCACAAACGGTCATTAAGTCGGTGGCCTGCCGCCTCCCCCACCAGCCCTTTTACCATCAATACATCTTTTGAGTGTCAAATTCTCATTGTTCTTCTTTCAGTTCTTTCTGATTCTGATTGTAAATGTTCTTTTCTTTTCCATTTTCCTTGAGACCTCTTCATTGCTCATGCTCTCTGTCCATAGTATTTTCAGCATCCTTCTGTAGAACAACATTTCTGTTGCCTCCATAAGAATTTAATCTCCTTATCAAACAGTGGTAATCAGAGGAATATGTAGAGTTTGTCTTTTAAAGAGCCACCTCAAACAACACAATTGTCACACTGTTCGATAGTCACTAACATACACACACACTACACATCAACTCACACTTCAGACCCAGAACTGTCACCAATTTCAATGAATGCCTACTGTAGTACCCGACTCCTTGTTCTATCTTCTATTTTTACAAGGGCCAGATTAGGCCAAAATTGGAGTACTGCTGCCATATATTGGCAGGTGCTGTACTGTCTCCACTTTCCAGTGTCGATAGAGACAAAAAGTATCTCTGCGTCCTTGTGGGTGACAAAATATTTTCCACCCTACAATCCCTTTCCCACAGATGAAACACTGCAAGCCTTTTGCTGTTCTACATTCCTTAGTTCCACTAAACGTAACCTTCACAGCTACCACACATTCTAACAAGCCATCCTCATTCCTTTCATATTCCAATGGTGAGATGTAAGCCCCACTTAAACAACTCCTTCCCATGAACAGCTATTTTGAATGATGCTTCCCTGATTACCAGAAACTAAATTCCTTAGTTCCAACAGTTCTAAGCTTCATGGCTAAAACCCACCATGCCATTTCTTTTGTATTCCATTGGTGATATATAAGATCCACTTGAGCAGCTTCTTCCTGCAAACTGCTGCTCTTTGGAACTGTAGTTTCAATGAATCTCTATTACTACAATGTCACTTGTAAAAATCAAGTGACTGCTGGTTCAATTTACCATTCTTGCTTTCTGAACACTTCACAATGTGTCTCCATCTTTTGTTCTGACGTTTTCACTGCTTCATCCCTCTTTTATCAGGCCAACACTGCGGTCGACCAACCAATCAGCATTCTTTGCTTTTATTCTCAGTTACCCAGGCAAATAGCCTCCTCCAGTTCAACCAATCAGCACATGACTTGCTATTGGTGGAAGCATACCAAACTGTACAAAAACCCTCGTTACCACACATACTGCTAGATTTGCTAGACAGGAGAGTAATGCCATTTTTCACATGGCAAACTTAGCGATGTTATGTGCCACATGTTAAGGAAAAGAGCCTTATTTTCTTATGCAACAGATGCAAGCCACTCTGGCTCGCTTGCTTCTACGAGGCTGTTCACCACAGGAACCAACTCCTAAACAGATGCTTCCTCAGTCGTTACAACCTACTAACTGTTATCTTCTCCACATATCCACATAAACTGTGCCTCTTATTCTGTAAGGGTGAACATCATTGTACAAAAATAAGAAAATAAATGCACAAACACATACAAAGATGTGTGTTTGAGATATTATATATACACATGCATACATATAAAGAAATATTTTCATTAAATATCTGGAGGCAACCCTAAGTTTTTAATAAATTCACATCCATGATTCCATCAGGCTCACTATCTGACTGAAAAACAAACCAAGGCACCTTTTTCAGTACACTAAAGAATTATATATTTTGTTTTAATCATTTTACCCAAGCAAGGTGGGATTGCCACTAGTAAACTGGGAGGGGGGGTTACAGAGAGTGAAAGTGAGAGAAAAGATTGGGTATAGGGGGTGATTGATGAAAGGATTAAAGATGAACAGGGTTCATGATAACAAAAGATGGTGATTGATATTACATTTACAATTTTGAAGATTTTAGTTTTCAGGGGAGTATAAACAGAAGGGAGTTCCACTGTCAAGAAGTGTGAAAAAAAAAACTTTTGGAGTAGAAATGGTGGCTACATTTAACTATTTCAATAGTAAAAGTGTGGGACCTAGATGCCAATCGAGTAGCACACTTAAATTCTTGTAATCAAGTCACCAGTGAAAAAAGCTTGTCAGAGCAGTTGCCATGAAAATATTTGTAGAAAAGACAGAGGAAAGCCACATTACATCTGTGAGAATGTGACTGAAGTTGAAATGCCTGTAGAATTTAGTTGGAGAAACAGGCACAGTACTTGACTGTATTGGAAGTTGAGTCTGATCTGAATACATCTTTAGGCAATTTGGTGAATGGTTTATATATAAACTCATCCAACAAGACAAACAAATTAAACTAATAAAATACAGCACCAAATTTTAAACCTTGAACCTAATTGCTGGAAATAATACTCCCCGCCCAAACCATTCCTCAATAAAATCTTTGTTCCAATTTTGACAGGTGTTCAACAATTGGTTTTGGCAGGGGTCCATCCTTGACCAAATTTCCAAGAGCCTGATCACAGTGTTGAAAAAGTGCAAGAGTGTTGGACAGGATTTAGATGATTACAGGCCCATAATTCTGCTAAACACAGAGTTAAAGATTTTGGTTGAAGATCCTGATAGAGCATTTGCAGTCTGTTGTTGAGGGCTGAGCAGACTTTTTGCTGTGATGGGATAAACAATTCAAATTAATCTGTATCTGATCTGCACAGTAATAGAAGGTGTAACAGACAAACTCTATAATAATCCTGACATTACAATTCACATAAGCGATAAAGCTAACATATCCGTCATTCTTAACAAAAAAGACTGTAACACCAAAATCACCAACATTCCCAGTGACAAAACAAAATTTAAACTAACATGAAAGCCAACCAACTCACTTAAGAAACACCTCAATGACATCATTACTGCCAACAATGCAGAAATTGGTTCCCATAAAGTAACAAAAATAATAGGTGACTATCAACCTGGTTACATCTACAGGAAAATAAAACCCCAAAAAACCGGGAAACCCCCTTTCGACTCATCATTTCATAAATTCTTATTTCTGTATAGCCAAAAATATTAACAGTATAAGGCAACCATACATACCTAACAAATACAATATTAAATCAACTAACAATTTCATACATATCTTAAATTCTACTACCCCTAATAACTGTATAACGGCATACACTGATGTCAAAAACCTTTTTACTAATGTCCCCATACATGAAAACATTAAAATAATTATTAAAATTCATCCTCCTGCCATAAAACCTACAATCCTAGAAAAACTATTACTAGTATGCACCAAACAAGTTCCCTTTTATGACCCGCTAGAAAAAATATACACAGATTCTCCTTCAGGTCCTACGTTCGCTGAATTCTCCACAACTCACATCGAAAACATCATATTTAATAACCATATAACCAAACATACTATTTACACCAGATATGTTGATGACATCATTATAACAACACAAAAACATGACACAGTTAATAAACTTAAACAAACATTTGACGAAAACTCCATATTAAATTCACAGTTGAACTAAATATCAAAAACAAAACACCATTCCTTGATGTACTCATTGTCCCCAACAACAAAGATACATTCAATACATCATTATTTAAAAAGCCAACTAGTAAAAACTCCTGCCTGCTCAACTTCTATAGGTAATGTCCAGATAAATATAAAAAAGCCCTAACCAAAAACTTAATCAAGCTTTTTACATCTCTTCATCCAGAACAATATTTTATAATGAATTTAACAATATAAGACAAACACTCATAAACAACAATTTTCCTAATAAATTAGTTAACCAACATATAAAACATTTCCTTTCAAATATACATATTAATAACAAAGAAAAAAAGACAGACAATAATAATATAATTCTATAGGAATCAAATGAACAGCAACTATAAACTTGTTGAACGAGCAATAACTAAACAACATTGACAGATACACCAAACTCATCCAACAACACAAACAAATTAAACTAATAATATACTACACCAAATTTAAAACCTCAAACCTAATTGTCTG